TTAGTACCTTGTAAATTCTGTCGCGTTGGGTGTGTCGAGAGATCCGAATCCGACGGACGACGGGATTTCGTGGCTGCGCCATCGCGCCAGGCTGGGGAAAGTTGCAAACCCGTGTAAAAACCGGGCCCTGAGAGATCGAACGGCGAGACGAATTAGCCACTTGTGTCATCCTTAGTGTAGCGTTTCTTTCGCGTTTATGTAGCGTTCTCTCTAGCGTTTCTGTAGTGTTTATTTCGCGTCTGTTTAGCGTCTATCTCGCATTTATTTTGTGTTTCTATCGCGCTTGTTTAACGTTCGCGTTTGCGTTGCATATCTTTAGCGTCTTTTCCACGTTGGTATCGCGTTGGTATCACGTCGTAGGATGCTCAAAACATGAATCCAATGATGCTCCAATGATGAGCAGCATATAGCGGGTCTCCGTCACAGCCTCGCCTACGCATCGCAACTTTTGACTTTCTTTTCCGCGTGTAATAGAAGTATAAATATTAATATAAATTTTCAAAATATCAATATATATTAGGTGTACAACTTAATTCTCGACCTTTTTAAAGAATATATATTGTTTATTTACAAGAAAACGAATAATTTTTCAATATTTGAAATAATCTCCGTTACTTTTTACACATTGCCATCTTTTGGGTAACTAGCGAAATCTACTTCGGAAAAAGGTTGATGGTTTTGAGGTTGATAAACTCGTTGATGCTTTTGTCGATCTTCTCGGGAGACTTGAAATGAGAATCAATGATATGATATTGCAGGGATCGAAAAGATGGTAATCCGAAGGGGCGAGGTCTGGAGAATACGCCGTATGAAAAAGAATTTCCTAATCCATGTCGGAAATGGCTTCCAAGGTTGTTTTTGCGGTTGCATGCATACGCGACTGCATATTGTCGTGTAGCAAAATCACGTTCCTCTTTCTAGCGCCGGTAAAAAGTCTTTTTCCCTCAAGTGCGTCACTCAATCTAATCAATTGCTGCTAGTAACGCTCAAAATTGATAGTTTCACCATATATGTCTCTTATTTTAATTTAGAATACAATATATAAGGTCTAGTAAAAAGTAATCCATTATTTTTGTATCAAATTGGAGGCTTTATTTAACATAATTACAATGATCCGATTTAGGTCAAATATGCACCGTTTTGTTCGATAACTTGTTGCCATTTCAAAGGTAATTTCATTATGCCTCTTTCATGGAAACCCTCGTCCCTATTGGCAAAAAACTGGGAAAGTCGATTTTCACAAGCTTCTCTTGAGGCGAATTTTTCACCAGCAAAAATTTCGCCATAGACAGGAACAGGTGGTAATCACTTGGTGCCAGGTCCGGACTATAAGGTGGATGCAAAAGAACCTCCCAACCAAACTCCCGGAGCTTCTGGCGAGTCACTATCGATGAGTGTGGCCTGGCGTTATCCTGATGGAACACAATTCCTCTCTTATTGGTCAAAGCTGGCCGCTTCTGGGCGATTGCTTCCTTCAGACGGTCCAATTGTTGACAGTACAGGTCCGAATTAAGAGTTTGGCCGTAGGGGAGCAGCTCATAGTAGATAATTCCCTGCCAATCCCACCAAATACACAGCAAAATCTTCCTGACCGTCAACCCTGGCTTGGCCACCGTTTGCGCCGGCTCATCGCGATTCGACCACGATCGTTTTCGCTTGACGTTGTCGTAATTGACCCACTTTTCATCACCAGTAACCATCCGCTTCAGAAATGGATCGATTTTGTTGCGATTCAGCAGCGATTCGCAGATGGAAATTCGATCCATGAGGTTTTTTTGCGTTAACTCGTGTGGCACCCACACATCGAGCTTCTTTTTGAATCCAGCCTCATTTAAATGGTTCCAAACGGTTTTTTGTGCAATGTTTTTTGAGCAAAGTGCTCCTTGGCAATCGAAACATGACGGTTACATGACGGTCGGACTCGACGATTTCCATTATTTTATCAACATTTTCGACAATTGGCCTCCCGGAGCGTGGTGCATCTTTGACATCAAAATTACCGGAACTGAATCGACGAAACCAAAATTGC